CCTGAAATACGTCCTAATACCGTCATATTCCACAATAACAATGGGACCAATTAAATAAATATGCGAATTTTTCCACAATTGGAAATGGTTAACTTTAACCAAAAAAACTGAAAATTTTAATAGTATATATTTTTTTCTATAGTACAAACAATATTAAGTATTTCCAAAACTGTGAGTGTTTTATGGTTCACATTCTATTAAACGTTAATAGATTTTCTGAAGTTAAATTTACGTAAACTTCATTGAGCGAAATTTTGAAAACAAAATTGATTCCTCTCATTAAAACTAATTAAGTTGGTACATTCTCTAGCTGATTGTTAATCTGTAGGGCAATAAGAACTGAACGCCGTGCCATGTAAAGATCTGATCTAGGCGTATTTAAATTATTTAAATGCAAAACAGAATAGTGTGTGATTTGAAAGAAGAGCAAGAGGTAATTTAGGCGCCGTGAGAAAGATGGCTCGCATTAATCTTGTCAGAATTAAAGACAAGAAGAAGCTAGAGAGTGATGTGTTTGATTCAGAGTCTTCTCAACAACGTCACAACAAATCACCTTTAATTTGAAATAACTTTAGCTCAAGCCTTTTTTCATAAAAAAATATTTTTAACTTTTCATTTCAATCTTAAAACCTCCTTTTTCTTAAATTATAAAAACATATCTCAATTTACCTAAGTACTACATATTTTATTATGTTTTACTTCATATAGCAAAAACTTAGAGATCATACATTTAGATACAGGGTGATTCCACTGCTTAGAATAAGACTCGCATATTTTATTTCGTTCTTTTACAACAATGTTCTGTCATTAACAGTGGATATATCAAAAATATCTTAATTCAACTTTTCAACTTTCATTATTTTTTCAAACAGTTTCCATATTTCAGGGACAAATAAACATGCTTAAATTAATAGATAACTAACCTGAATAATCAGTAATCCATTACAAGAGCCCATATAAATATACAGGGTGAGTCTTAACTAAGTGCAAATATTATTAGGGGTAGTATATTTCGACCCTAGAAACACGATTGAGGTTTTTTTCGCGAAAAATTTTGAAAATTTGGAATTAAAAAAAAAATTGGAATTTTTTTTAATTTTTAGATAAAAACCATGATATCTTGATAATATGACAATATACTGGTAAGAAAATCCACAAAAGTGGTTCTCAAAATTTAAGCAAGAATATATTTTTTTAATTTTCAAAGTAAAATAACTCGGTTATGTTGGATTTATTTGAGAAACGGTAAAGAGAAAGTAAGTTTCTTTTATCGAGATCTACTAGCCCTGAAAATATTTGCACTTAAGACTGACCCTGTATAATAAAATAAAACAAATATACGCCACAACACACGCGATATAAGAGACTATACACTTCAAGGTAAATAGAGCAACTAAAGCGGACAAAAGATATTTTATTTACTAGTTACGTAACGTAAAATTCTTTTTGGTATTGTTTATTATTTATAGATGGTGTAAAAAAATAGTGTACCAGACAGTAGATGCTACAGACGAAAATTAAGAGTTTATTTAAGTACTACTAGTAACTTCTAACGTTATACAGGGTGAGTTTTCTACGATGCTCTATATGGTATCTCGGAAACTACTGGAGATAGAGAGTCGGTTAAATGGGGAAAGAATTGCAGTTTTGTGGTGTCATAAATATGCGCCTTTCAGATTTTTGAAAAAGTTCATGGCTTACTAGATATTTCGAAAAAAACAAATTTCGGTTACTTAAAAATGGTCTCTAAATCCATTATAATCTATTTTAGACAAAAAGTTTTCAGATAAAAGTTGTAGATAATCACATCCTTAATGAGACTGTGTTTCCGTTCTTTTCTAGAGCCTGTCATTTTTGACATACGACACAAACTATGTTTTTTTAAGTGGAAACCATAGTTGGCCATGACTTCATAAAAAGCGCTATTTTTTAAGCTTTTTCCGAGATACCCATAGAGAACATCGTAGAAAACTCACCCTGTATAATATAATAAAACACCACGATACACACTACACAACTTCACACTTCACTGTAAATAGTATAGTTAAAAGATAGGTAGTGTATCAAACTTCAGTCAATTGAAACTACAGACAGGTAGAAATAAAAGAAAAACTTTCTACGAACACGGGCCCTAAGATGCTACCTTCAGAAGTTTCATCCGTTGAAAGGATAGATAAAAATATATGTTTTATTTATATTATAATATACTTTTTAGAAGAATTAAGTTAGCATGGAGTACTTATGGAAGAAACTCATTCATATTAAGATCTAGAATGTCACTTTATCTAAAGAAGAAAACAGTCGACCAATGTGTACTACCAGTCATGACATATGCATGCGAAACCTGGACAGTTTAAACGGAGATTTTAAGGAAACTGTGCATCTCGTACAATGCTCCATGGAACTAAATATGCTGGAAATAACCAAAAAAGACCGTAAAAGAATAGAGTGGATACGATAAAAGATCCAGGTAAATAGATGTGATCCATAGAATCAAATCCCTCATGTGGCAATGGGTAGGACACCTGGCAACAGATGGACCACAAAACTTACAACATGGTACCCACAAGGAATTAAGAGACACAGAAGACCAAACCTGAGATGGGACATTGATATTAGGAGATTAGAAAATTAATTAGAAAGCATACAAGTTAATTGCTAATTAGATCTCCAGTTTCATTATACCTGAACAAAATACACAATTTAAGGTATCTAAATTTATCTAAGTACTACATATTTTATTATGTTTATCTCATATAGTTAAAACTTAATGCAGTTTGCCTATCAGCTCAAATATTATAACCAAACTAAATGGTTTCTAGTTAATTTGGAAAGCCCCTTTTCCGGATTTTGATTAAATTAATTAACTAAATTAACTAGAAAAGTGCATTGGATAGTTACGTGAGAGCAAACAACTGATAATGTTACTAGAACTAAAAATCTTAGAGTTAAAATGTATCGAATCGTTATTATTTTTTAATTAACGTATCTGTTTCATATTAAACCACTATAATAATTTGTACTGTCACTTAAAACTGGTTTATTACGAGCTAGAATTTTTTGTGTCGAAAAATAGAACAAAATCGGTGATTTTAAGTAAAAGTGCATTTTTTGCAGACAATATATCAACTTTATTCTTAAATAAAAACGAATTTCCTTGAAAAAAGCGGCTAGCAGCAGCATTCAGGGGATGATTCATGTTAAAAATAAAACATTTAGATATTCCGGATTTTTATTATTCCAGTGAAATAGTGGTGAACGGAGCAGCAATATCTGAACTGTTTATATTACGGCAGTGGTACAGTCAACAGTATAAATTAGTATCCATTGTATAATAGGAACTGCAAGCCATTCCTGTCACCACTACAATGGACAACGCTCTGGTCCGCTTGAAAATTATACACGGCGAGCTACAATAGAAGGACAATTTGGGGGAGGCAGGTCATCTTGAGATGGTTACCAAGATATAAATGTTTTTCCTTCTTAATTGCTATGTTAGAAAAACCGAATATTTTTATTTAAAAGAAAATTCAGAAACACATAAGTTTTAATACACTCACCGGCACGAAAAACGGGGACCTTAAAATCGTGATGTGTTTTAAACAAGTCAAAGAATTTTCAACAAGTCAAACAAATCAAGGAATTTTAAAATCATTTTATCATCTAATTGCATCTTTTCTCGATAGTTTATTTTTTGGTTTTGATATATGTAAAAAAATTCTACATGGTATTTCAAACTTTCGCCAAAACATCAACATTTTGTTTTCTCAGTATAATTGACAGATGGAAACCTTAATTTTTAATTTAGAAAAAAATACTAAAAAGTCAAATAATTTAGCTGCATATTACTTAAAAAATTATCAAAATCGGCCAACTATAACAAAATATATTAAACTTTGAAACATATCAAAATTTTAAGGGACTCGTTTTTGGTGCCTGTGAGTGTATATCAGCATAAATTACTTTTTTAAAATTTAATTCTAAAATATCAATAATTGTACAGTTTTTATTAATAATTTGTAAGCAAATCATATGAAAAATAAGCAGTCGTTTGTTGGTTTGCTTTTACGTAAAGCCTCACAATATAAAATCACATTTTTAACAGTAGAAAACGTCATCAGGTTACACAGCAAAAAATCACGAAATGGGTTTAAAAATTCTGCATTTTTATTTCTGTTCCTTTACAATTTCATAAACGAAAGCCTTATGAGGTTAGTACCGTATGATCGAAAAACGGCGTCAGCGATGGCTATGAAATGAATTATATTAAAAATTATATGGGGATTTCATCGATGTTCATTTCCAAGTCAACTGGACGCCGTTTTTGTTCGATTATACGGTATATGTATGTGACATGTTCTATTATAGTGTCGACAGTTACAAACTATGTTATAAAAATTAAAAAAATGTTTTCTAAATTTTTCACAAGATTTACTAGAAATTAACTTATATAAAAAATTAAACTTGGCGCAGTTGTTAACGGATCAAGATGTGAAGCTTATAAAATAATATAAATTAGAATAAACACAAAAAATGACAATGGGCTATAAACTGGTCATCAATGCCCTTAGTTGATGAATTAAACGTAGCTCTTTAAAAGGGTATAGTTTATTAGTTTTATTTAACGAACTACAAACAAAAAAGTGAGTTTACAGCGCATATGTACCAAGCGTGAAAATCAATTATCTGTGGCAACTTCCGAAATCCATAAAGTTTATTACTTTTGAAAATCAGGAAACCGGTGCTAGGCGCCCGGGTCTTTACTTCGGCTTTCAAAACAAAACTTGGGATCGCCGCAGATTAATATAAGCTTTGATATTGTTACAGTCCTTTCAATGTTATGGATAGTCCATCAGCTGCTCCCTCAAACGCATTTAACCAAAAGTTTTAAGTGAATCTGGTTTAATAACTATTCCAGTCATAACAAATATTCAGATATATTCAAACTTATTTATAGATATTGTATAACTGTAAGACTATAGCGTAACTTTTTGTTATAGTTCCACCTATGCTGTGGATTCCTCATCAACTGGTAGGGGCACCTTTAGCTTATTCTGTTACACTAGAATGTTTTACTGAAGCTCATCCTAGCTCTCTAAATTACTGGACACGAGAAGATGGACAAATGATACACGAATCAAGGAAATACCACGCCGAGAATATTTTAGGTAAGCTTGGTTCATTTTAATCAAATTTAAATATAATTTTACACTTTTTAACACTACAAAACTTATATAAATTAATTTTCTATTTATACAGGAACGCCAAACTATAAAACCCATATGAGGTTGACCATCAACAACATCCAGCTAAGCGATTATGGCATTTACAAATGCGTAGCTAAGAACCCAAGAGGTGAAACTGATGGCACCATTAGATTGTACAGTGAGTATGCACGCTCTTTTAGTAATTATAATTCACATAAAATGGTAACAGTATAAAGATGATTTGAGGTTTAGATCTGTATCATTAGAATAGTGACCTATAGAAAAAGATTTTTATTTGAAGAATAGAAAACAGCAAACATTATACAGGGTGATTCATGCCATGGTTAGACGTTCACAGAGAAGCGCTGATAGAATTTTTTTGAAAATTTGGATTTTTGCATAGAGTCTAAATTTTCAGCGTTACAGTGCTGCCGGTTCACACTAAAGGTACATTCAGGCTGAGAGCGTCGAGCGTCGCGTCGCGTTTGCGTCGCGTCCGCGTGTCGAAATGGAATCAATTCACTTAAATTAAATTAGACCGTTCAGGCAGACAGCGTCGCGTTTGGCGTTGCGCTAGCGTCCGCTGAGCGTCGAGTTCGAGTTCAATGGGGCGGACGCGACGCAAAGGCGACGCGACGCTCGACACTCTCAGCCTGGATGTACCTTAAAAGCAACTTTGTTATTTTAAATGGAACACCGGGTATATTATTACATTTTTCGAAACTACTTTCATATCTCATAATTTTTTTATTCTAACCTATACCTATATCTAACAGTTTTCGAGATAAAAAATAAAAGATGTGTAAAATTAACAAAAACATGAACTTGAAACAGCGTTGGATAAATAATAAATTCGGCATATTGAAAGCTGAAGTTTGTCTTATAGGTTAAGGAAAGTCGACATATTCGATCTGTCTTGATCGCCTGATTGGATATTAAACAGGGAGATCAACAAAGTATTTATTTCCGTTGATGGTACTAACGTGCCATCGCTGTGAATCACCCTATATAGCTCCTTATACATCTCGAATGACAAATATATCGAATATATAAGAGCAATTATGATAGTAAAATGCACGTAAAGACGTTGACAGAAATGAGGAATTACTCCAGAAATTTGTATGGTTAAATGAGAAGTATTCAAAACAAGATTTCGTTTATTTATCAGTTGAACGTTCAAATAGTATACAAGCCAAGATATTTCGAATTTCCTAGGGTAAATACGAGCATTTGTGGATGCCCGAATGAAAATATTCTTCATATTGCTCCATTCCGAGAGTTCTTTGATCTGTACAATATAATGGCGTATGTAAGACTGATTTGTTATTTGTTATAGGAAATATTTTCTCAGATTGTCCGCTTAATCGAAATTTTCCATTTTCTATTTTAAAGTGAGCCTATCTTAAAAGCTATAAAACATTCGATCCAGATTATAAAAGCAAGTTCGCCTTAAATGTAACGATATTTCAAATTTAAAATCACGTTTTGCAGAAAGATGAAGGAAAAAAACTTGGCCACGGGCAAACAAGCACCCTCTTTGACTTTTAAAGCAACTAAAATTCATAAGATATGAAATACAGCTGTACATCTGTTCGCTTTATTGTTGTATAGAAGTTTTCTTAGCGAATTACTTTTCTTTCATGCGGATAGCACATATATACGACAGACTGCTTGTCCAAGTATCTATTTTTACAGCAAATCGCTTTATAAATGGATAATTTATCGTTTGCAAACCCGTCATTTTTCGAAAATTATTTATTTCCTGTAAACAATAAATATAAAGGTGTCGAAAAACGTTTTTCATATTATATTTATGATACTTTGACTTTTTGGAGTAAAGAAAACATATTTCATGTTTAGTCTATTAATTTTCTTGTAATTTATAGTTGTTAATTACTATTTGATTTCCTGTCAAATATTATTAATTTAAAAGTTCACAGAGATGTTTTTGACTCTTACACAAACCTGTTTTTGTGTAAGTTTTATAAAACAGTTTTCCGCGTTTCAAATAATTAAAAATTACATTTAAAGAAATCGCATAAAAAACTTTCGAACTTCTCCTTGCAATATAAAAATTAATGTAGCAAAGGAAATGACGTTGTTTTTACAAAGTGACAGATAGATTTTTAACTGAAAAAGTAATAGTTTGATTCCAAGCCGTTTTATCATCCAATTACAGCCAATTTATGGAAAAATAATCGCTCCGAATTGCTTTAGGGTAGTTTACGACAATGTTATTAGATCTAACCATCCTGATCCTCCAACATTAATGTCTCTGATGAAAAATAAAACCATCCAGCAAGTCTTGTATAGCAAACCAAAGTTCCTCTTTGAGCCCTAACGACTAGCTTCCCTATATTCTATAATAGACCGTGAGCATATGTTTGACCTAAAAGATTTTGTAAATGTTTAAATGTTTTACTAACTATATTACTATGAAAGAACACACTAAAAAGTGTAATTTGACGAAATAATAAGCACACAATTCTAGTACCTACAGATTGCACTGCATGTAGTTATTTATAAGTTTTTTACTTATATATGTTATGTAACGTACATTCACAATAAATAAAATCATAATATCGATGGTTATGATTCCCTTTTCTTTCTTTTATGCTAGGTTGAGTACGAGCGCTCGGACTACGGAGGTGTTCGACAGTCTGTATCGGTTATATTGTTATTATCGCTTTACTCGGAAAAAAAGAAGCCGCAAAGCCAAAAAATATCAGGGAATAACGGCACATATGGCGCGTTATTACAGAATGATCACAGTAAGGAGTAAAAGTCAGCAAGCAAACTATCTAGCCTTTCGTCCGAGTCAAACTGTTGCTATAGCGACGACACGTGTTGAGCATGATGTTATTTTGTAAATCTTGTCACGTCGTAAGTTGAAAAAGGACCTCTGGGAAGAAGCACAACGAGACAAGAAGGCACTAAGATGGGTTTATATGTTTCGGCTTTTGGTTAGGCTTTAGAAACTAGATACAATGCCAGGAATAATAGTAAACTGAATGTCTCCATTGTTTTTGTATAGGAAATATACTCCTTTCTTATTTTGCAGGAGGAATGCCCGAGACACAAAAAAACAAGCACATCCTGTAAATTTTGTTTGGTATTTTTGAATAAAAAAGACATTTTCTTTATTATTACTTTTTAATATGCCAAGATACAAAATCTAACTTGCTGCATTTCGAGCGACTTCAAACTTTACATAACACTTGAATTCGGTGTGAATTGGATTTTATAGAGCTGTTGTAGACGTCAGTAGCAAGCGCGTCACACGTACTTCCAGACACAAGCTTCAAGCTAAAGAGCATTTACTTGCGCGACTAATCTTTTGAATATCTTGGATTAGGCGAGGATGTATATTATTTTAGGTGGTTAGGATAACATATTTTGCCATGTCAATTTTCATACCTTAATTTTCACTCTCATACGTACAAAGCAATGGTGAAACATCAATTTTTAGTTTTTTCTCTTTTATACATTCTCAACGTTGTTATATCACACCGTACACAGAGTAATTAAATGGCAATTATACAAAAGGCAATTTTCGAATTTTTATTTGCCATACTAGAGATACAGGGTGTCCCAGAAATAAGTGCAAGTATTTTAACTGGTAGTATAGTTCGACGTCAGATGACACGCCCATGTTTTTTTTGTGATAAAAAAATGTTGAAAATTTTATATTTTTCTTGACATTTTCCGAAAAATATTGAAAACTTTTGAGTGCTGCTTGTTCAGTTTCCAAAAATTTGTTTATAGTGCTTTGAGAGAATGCAATGCTGCCCCCTACGTTATCCACATTCTGTATATTTATAAGTTATAAGTTCACGTTATTTTTAAATTCCTACAAAAAAAAATATTTAAATTAATTTTATTCACTAAGATTTTTTAAACATTGTAAATTACTATTAAGTATAGTGCAACGTCTACTGTATTTTAAATATTTTTTTTACAGTTTAGTAAACTGAAATAATGAAACTAAATAAGGGTCAATTATAGCAGCTTTGCAACAGTTCACAATCAGCGCCCTCTATTAGATATGTAAATAGTCAACGTTTGACCTACATTTAAACAGATCAGCTGATATTTTTAGATTATATATATTATATAGATATTTTAGAGATTCTGGTAATTGCTTGGTATTTTTTAATTGCTGCCGGCGGTTCTCAAAATGTTGCCATTATTTTTTTTAAATTTCAAAGTTAAACAACTCGATTATTATTAATTTATTTTAAAAATGTTAAACATCCTTTAAAATACTTGCACTTATTTGTGAGACACCCCGTATAGAGAATTTTTAGAAACCCCATCAAAAACCATTTTCTGTCGTAGATAAAATCCGATCTGAAATATCGAAATTTTTAATTCAAAAGTAGCTGCAGGAAGTTACGTTTGCAGAACAAGAATGAGGTCTGGAATAGTAGAAAAATCCCGAGAACAGCTAAATATGTGCTTGAGCGGCAAATTTTATAATTTCGATGTTCGACTTCTCAATCGTGGTTAGTTAGCGACGTTTTTTTGCCTTATTTTGAACCTGAATCGGAAAAATATATCCAGAAAGTATGTTTCCGAACTGAATACATCGTTATTGGCGTGATTTCCGATTTTCAAAATTTAATTATAAACTTAGGCATCAACTAAACATCTAAGAGTAAATTTTATAAGTAAAACTTTTAACTATTAAATACAATAATTTATTAATATTAGTAATAAACACTTTCAGTAAAAATCGTTCGGTATTTATTTTCTGTCAATAAATATATCTGATTGAAATTAAACTTCATATATTATCGCTGTGCAAATAGATTCCAGTTTCTAAGATACTTGTCCCAATTTTGTTTATTAATAGAGGTCTATTAGATTTGTATTTTGCGGGGTAATAGATTTATCGCGTCACCCTAGACATTATATAAAATAATCATGGCTGAGGAAACTGCCTTCCCATGGTAACAGGTATAGGCGCATTTGTATGTAGCACAATTGTAGAGCATATATACATATATATACATACACCTGTTCAATCGATTTTAGTTGATCAAATTATGTTGGGAAGGTGCATAAATTGTCTAAGCTCTCTCCGTTGAATATGCAGATCAGTTCGAAAACTTATGTTGATTGTCTTTTAATGCTTGTTAACGTAATTATTCTAATATTCGCACCTTGATTTAATTC